GTACATAAGCAAATGAGAAAACAAAACAGATGAGAAAGCAATACCATTCCGTAACATGGGTAAAAACAACTTATGAAAACAATCTGACCAAAAGGCATTTTAATGGAGAAAAAACCAATGGCAACCAAATAAGAAAAATCCTGATATTGCACAAAGTTTAGACAGGGTGACTCTTCAATTCCCATCGACAAGATCACAGACATTCAAGCTGACATATAAAGGTAAAACTCTCTACTGGGTTTTGAAGTTCCAAGAAGTCTATGTAATAAGCACATTAGAGCATGAGATCGGTACAAATCACCATTAACAAGAATGTGGAAAGGTATTAAGCAAGAAAACCAACAACAAGCTAGTCAGTTGTTCATGTCAATCTTTCATGCTTCTTGTTCTACCAAGGATTTCCCTAGTAAATGTTATTACAAACTGAACAAAATATATCCTGCAAAAAACAAGACTTGCCAAAATCCACATGAAGCTCAAACCAATTCCTCCTTAGCGTTTACAAACAGCAAGAATCAACACAGTTTAACAGTAAGTTTATTATTTGTATCAACTTTAAAAACACCATTATAAACCAATATCCACCAAAACCCACTTCAAATTTTATCAACTTACCCCAAATTTCCTCTCCTTTTCTATACCGTTCAACATTAACCATTACAAAACGTACTAAATAGAGAAGCAAAGAGGTAAAAAGCCCCTAAAAAAATACAAATCAAGAATCATACACCATTCTTGATAATCCCTCTCCTAGCCAAAAACCTTGCCAGAGGAGGAGTAACGGCAATAGTTATAGGTACCCGTATTGGAAACAAAGCCTTATTACACAGCACAGCCAGAGTCAACGCCCCACCAGTTGACGCAACAAGCTCAGCCGTCCGATTCCTCTTCGTCTTCTTCTCTTCCCCAATCACCACCATTGATCTATCATTATAACCATCGTTCTCGAGAAACCCATCTTGGGATTTCAATTCTTGAAGATCTTGTTGGGTCGGTTCTTGTTTAGAGAAACCAGGGAGATGCCACTTGTCGAAGAGAGATTCGACATCCACGTTGTTCTTGATGGCAATGTAAAGACCAGTGATTGAAACTGCTGAGACAGAGAAGTGTACACCTAATGCTACTTTCCCGTATTTCTTTAGGAGCTCTCTGAATCTTCCTCCTTTTGCCGCTGCCGCCGCCATTGCTTGTTCTTTTAGCGGTGAGGGTTTTTTGCTTAGGGTTTTTGGACAACCTCTTTGCTCTGCTTGCACTTGCAGTGGCGGAAAAGTAAGATCAATAGTTGAACCGACAGCGTTTTCATGGTTTAAGTCATTTGGCTTGAAATGCTGCCACGTGATTTGAATTGAAATGCTGCCACGTGATCTTGGCTCCAAAGCAGGGGCCATAAAAAAAAGATTAATTATCAAATTAATTATATTTTGTTAATAAAATTAACGGGGACAATACCGTTTGAGAAGGCTAGGCATGTTAAATAACATGATGGTATTAACGTCTCTGATAATTAGAAATATATTCATCCTTTATCATCATATTTTAAATTTCACATCATATTCAAATTTTAGACATGTTATTTTTATCATATCATGCGTGGAACTTAGCATTACTAAGCTACACTATTGTTATTAAAATCTTTCTAAAAAATTATATATTTTCATAAAATCGTTAGTAGAAATTATCTTAGTATTTCTAGTGTTATATTTCTTGATATTTGAATTGCATTTATTTTATTTGTTCAGCTTTATTTTTTTTATGGAAAAAAATTGATATAAATACCGTCATTTTCAAGAGAAAGTTACTATTAATGACTCCTAATATAGTTATTAATTTAGCTTGCTTGCTTATGGTTAATCAAAAAAATTTACAATACAATTCAAAATTTAGTTCAAGTAAAATTAAACTTTGATATGTTAACTCATCATTTCGTCTAAATTTAATTGTTTTAATGCTATGATTTTCTTTTTAAAAATAAAAAAATAAGATTCCAATAATATTAAAAAAAATTAAGTCAAGAATTCAAATGATAATCCAATAACCTAAATCTTTGTTCAAATCAGATTTTCAGAGTATTTATAAAAAAAGTAATTTTTACATATAAATATATCGAACCAATATTTTTTATTAAAAGAATTATTTTTAATATCAGCATATTAAAATATATATATATATAAATATAAAAAATAATTTAAAATAAAAAAATAAATTTTTACAACCCAACGGTAGCTTCAAACAAGCAATTTAACATGAAAGCTCATGGTGGTTTAATTAGGTTGCTCAGTTAAGATTGAAAAGAGATTTACCTGACGGGGGGCTTTGACGGACCAAAATTTAACCAGCCTCAGAAATTCTTCAAAAAGTAAAACACGCCTGCCAGACTCTTGCCTGAGTTAATTATATCCGTGCTTAGCGCATTCAATTAATTTTTGCCCAGCAGCACTCTCCCAATTAATTGGGGGAGTGTTGGACACGCCAGCACCCACTCCATCATCTGGGGTTCTGCCGTGGCCAGCACCCCCCCTAATAATTGGGGTGCTGGGAATGTGCTTTAAGCACAATATTTTTTTTTTATCTCATGAATTTATTTGTAATATTTTATGTTCATTCAATATATATTATTCTAAGCTTTAAATTTATAATTTTTTATTCTCAACACTTTCCATAATAATATTTTAAAAATTTATCTTTCTAAAATATCACTCTAAGTTTTTTTCTATAAAATTATTAATTTAAACATTTAACAATCCTCATATTTATTTAAAAAAACTTTAACATGTATTTGATCACTTTAGTTTATCCAGCACCAACAATTATAAGCTACCACCGTATCAAATCACCAAACATTTTAACAAAGTAAAATAAATTAAATTATTTAAAATAAAAAATTAACCCGATTATCTAATATACCATTCTAATTATTACCAAGTGTTTTGGATCTCGGAAATCGTCAGGCTTCTGCTATGATATCGTTGGGCGGTACCTTGGGCTTGAGGCCGAGCCTCCACAATGGAAAAACCTCAAAGCAGCCGATAGAGAGTGGCTGTGCATAATTATCTTAGCAAGTGCATTAACTATCAAATCCATCATGGAAAATGCTTGGGCTCTCTACTCTCTTTACAATGCTTCTATATATATATATATATATATATAAGATACCTCTCTTTTGATCCAAGCTTCGTTCACATCAATTTTTTGGACATTAACATTTATTTGTCACATCGATCGTATCGACGGACGGACAGACGGACGGACGGCCGTCTCCAACAAATTAAAAAAAAAAAAAAACTTTTATTTTAAGAGGTCTTAGTACTTAGTAGTAATCAACCCTAACAAGAAAAGGGACCCAATCAATAAAATATATTGTAGACATAGCCGAATGAATATATTAATTAATAACACTCAACTGCACGTTACTAGAAGGATAGCTATTATTAAACCAGACCTGACGGAATTTTTAGGTTAGGGGTTAGGCAGTTTATCAAGATAAATAATTTTTTTAATAAAATAGTCAAAAGAATTATACTTTAAAAAAAATAAAAAAATAAAACCATCTTTGATCAAATCAAATCAATGAACTTCAGGTTGATTTTTTTTGTTATCACCGTGTTTAAACTAAAATAAAATAAAATCGGTAGAATATTAAATCAACTCTAGACTGGACGGCATTTAATAGATGTAATTTTTTAAAAGCCAGAGCTCCCTTTTCTTTCAGGTGTTAAATTAGCTTCTTCTTTTTTTAGAATTACAGTATTGAACATGACGAAGCGTGCAACCAACGAAAAGGGTATCCAATTGGAATTAAGTTTTCTTTATTTCTAAATAAGAGGCCATGATTAATTTTATAGGTCCACCTTGCAAATGGTCCTATTTTTATTATATATATATATATACATACACACAAGCATATGGTCAGTCTCAGCAGCCATATAAACGGAAGAAGATTAATAATGAGCAACTGGCTGTCCTGTCCTGTAACTGGAAGGAAAAACCGAAGAAGGGTTCCAGCTAGAAAGTATGATACAAAGGTTACAAGACACAGTCAACCAGCTCAATATCTTGATTGGGTTTTTTGTTCTCCATTATTCTTCTCAACCTTGCAAGCATGGGAGAGGCCAAGATCTTCCTAATGTTCTTAATTATGGTGTTCTTGAAAGGTGCCGTATCTGAAGTTCATACAGTTGGAGATGAGTTAGAATGGAATACGGGGGCAAACTTTGGTTCTTGGTCACGGAAATATAATTTTAGCGTTGGCGATACTCTTGGTATGTAGTCCTCGTTCTCGTTCTAAATTTCCTTGCTTTCTATTGTTAACTCGAGAGCCTTTAATTCACCGGCCATAAAAACTTTCAATGGAGCTGGCCGGTGATTAAGTGGTTCGGCCATTTCCAAGACTGTTCCAAATTAAGTTCTAATTATATACATTCCTTTGTGAAATGGAACTCAAATTTTGGTGCTTTGGTGTAGTTTTTAAGTATTTGAAGGGACAGCACAACGTGTATGAAGTGATTGAGGCTACATATCGATCATGCAATGGAAGCACTGGAGTTTTAGCGACATATGAGAGTGGAAATGATCAAATTGAACTCAATCAAGCAAAGAAATATTGGTTTATTTGCAATATTGCTGGGCATTGCCTTGGAGGCATGAGGTTTTTCATCGATGTTAAAGAAGCTAATTCCACAAATATTAAGCCAACCACGCCACAAAGTGAACCAATTCCACCACCACCACCAGCCAACTCCTGTGCTGCCATTTACGTCTTTGATGGATGGAGTTTTTGGGTTTCTCTTGTTGCTTTTGGAGTTTTACTCCAATTGCAAGACTAGTGGAAATTGTAAAGCATAATTTTTTTTATGGTAAACGATTTTTTTAATGATAAATTAAATGATTTTTTTTTTATGGTAAACGAATTGAATTAAAGATCCATTCCTTCTCCTTTGTTTTGATTTCCTCCAATATTTGTGCAGGAAACCAAGCCCCTTCTTGATTAGTTGAGTGCTTAGATGAGGAAAACACAAACATTTGATAGAAACCAAGCAGCCATACGTACTATATTGTCTTAGAAAAGATTCTTGCAGATCACCCAATTATTCCATATGTTTGAAAGAAAAATACAAGGAAACGTTAGAGTCTATATATGTGTAACATTTCTCATCTGAAACGGATCAGATTATGGTCAAAGTTGGTGGAGGTGATGGTGGTTGTAATTCATGTGGCCATTCTGCAGGTGGTGATCATGGTGAGGATAGTCCATCCCACTACAGCAAATCTCTGATGCTTTAGGCATTTCAGGCCACGCTCTTGGTGGGTCTCTTGTTAACTCCAGCAAAGAGTCCCTTACGTAGTCTGCTTGAACCATTTCACTGTCCTTCTGCTAATCAAAAGACGACAAAGGAAATAGACACTGAATTTTCGTATTCTCAGTTTATACTTCAGAATGAAAAGAGAGGAAGGATGCGTACATGGTCTTTATTTACCTCTACTTTTAAGACATTGGAAACCAGGCCTCTATTGCTGGTCACATTAGCATTTGTAACTTCTAAGCCAAGAGAATCCAAAGCCTCCATTAATCTCACAAATCCTCCAGGCTTGTGCTCACAGAATACCTTAACAAAGAACTCATTCCCATCTATTTGAGCAACTTCCACTTGCGCCTATAATTGTCATATGATCAGGAAAACAAAAATGACTTAAGAGTCAGTGATATCATAAATTCAAAAGAAGGGAACAGTAGAGTAAGATATACCTCCATTTGATGTCCCTTATCGTGAGAATTTTCTGAGTCTTGGTTTTGTTTTGAAACAGTACTAATGCCTGATGCTTCCACATGAAATCCATTCACAGCATAATCAGACCTGTATGCACCAAGATTAGCTCCATTTTGGTTCAGAATTTCTGGTGGCATATTGTTGTTGTTCCCGTTTTTAGCACCCTCATCATCTGAATTCTCTTCAAGCTCATCCTGGAGTTCTTTCGCTTCCTTTTGAAGCTCTTTCACAAATTCGATCGCATCTCCAAGTATGGAAGCCCTATCCAGCTAAGAATCAAAAGCACACGATACATCAATAATGTAACACTAGAGGTAGAAATTCAACAATTCAGGTTAGGTCGAATTCTTCTCACACAGGATACCATTTTTCGGCTACCGAATTCAAAAGGCTGATGCCCAGACAAGAGCGCTGGGGAGCTGATAAGGAAATCGGCTCAATAGTGGAATGGTACAACGTACAAGTTATTTTGGGGACCTTTGCATATACCAGGCATAGTTTCATGCTCTCATTGCGTGGTTATGTATCTTAAATTCATCGACTCGTCACAAGGGATTGACAGATAAAAATGGTTAGAAATATTGATCGATCCTAAATATTGCATGTTATGTTGACATGGTCTAGAGAGGAGAGGGATTACTTCATAGAATTCATGAGTAGTTCCACCATAAATTGAGAGATTTATACTGATGCGTGCCATAAAATGAAGATTGAAAAGAGTGACTACCTTTGAAATGTTGGGAACCAAGGACCGGAGAGCATAGAGCCTATCATTAAGCTTCTTCCTCCTTTTCCTCTCAGCAACTAGGTTTTTTGATTGAGGTCCTTTCCCAGTCCTCCTCCGATACTTTGCATCATCCTCATCATCGTTGCAATCCGAGTGTGAGTATTCTGCTGAAGGCCCATTCTCTAGTTTTATTGATTCTTTGTCATTTCCATGTTGATCCTTGGTTGTTAAACCTGACTCCATATATTGCATCTGCGTGCTTTCTGCATTAGCCATCATGGAATTCTGCAAATCATCCATATCTTGTAGCCCACTCTCTACTCCTTGAAGGAGATCGCCTTTTGTTTTGGTTTCGTCAGTGCTGTAATTGAACTGGTGCATGAAGTTGTTCATTGGAGAACTAGACATGTGGAGTCTATCAAGGGAGGTATCATATGGAATATTCAAATTGTGATGATCCTCTTGTTCATTTTCATTGGCAAGAAATGGATTTGATTGGTTTTCACTCATACCAGTCACATCAATTGATAAACTTGAATCCATATTAGTTGAGTTGATCATGGCTTCCTGTTCCATTAGGAAGTTGCATTGAGATGTTACAACATCTATGACATGATGATCTTCAGGTACCTGCGCGGCATAAGATATAAAGATAAACACTTTCACCATTGATTAGCATGAGTGACATTTCCATTAGTTCTCAAGTATAAAAGACCAACAAAACAAAAGGAAACCATACTTGTTTAGCAATGAACAGTTCCATTAGTCCTCCTGGCACTGGAATCAGGGCCCTAGTTCCAACAGTTTCCTGTTCAGGTCAGCACAGAACTTATTGGTCCAATAAATGAATGCTAATAATTCTTGGTTTCCTTTTCATTTATGCAAAGAATAGAAACTACTCACCTCAAGAACATTTGAATCCGAGCTACTAGAGAAGTTTAACCACCTAGGCAGGTTTGAGCTCAGGGCCTGTGAATGAAACCTGTTTTCAAACTCGAGTAATTAATATTCAACTTGAAGCACTTCTTTTATATGATAATTTTCAGTTAAATATCTGACAATTACGTACCCTGAGTTTAGGGGCATTGAAGAAGGAAGTTGAGCAAGAAGTTCACAGGATTTAGTTCTTCGGTGCTGAAACATGACATCCCTGCAAGGAAGGACTGCAGAAACAGGAAACTGAAGGTCTTCTCCACCATTTTGAGTGGCCTCAGTCCCAGCGCAACAACAATCCATCAATTCAATATACCTAAAAGGAGAACCCCAAACAAAACATAAGGAGAAAGAGAGAGGGGGAATGAGAGAGACATGAGTTTAATTAGGATAGTTTGCATTAACCTTCGATCCTCACTCAGTTTCCAAAGAACACAATAATCCCAGCCTTTTACACCCACAAGAGGCCTCAGTCTCTCCATGAGGTTTTGTACCACATTCATGATGTTACCTATGATGCATGATTGATTAAAGCCAAGTGGGACAAACTCCAAAATCAGCATGACACTTTTGTAAGTGAATTAGGAAAAAGAATGCATAAAAGTCCATGAAAAAGCACAAAACTGTTAACAAAAGTACACTGAATAGATCACAGACTTCTCTAGTATACTCACATGATGTAACCAAAGATAGAAAGATCGATACCTGGCTGATAAGGGTACCTCATCTTAGCTCCAAAATCTCTGTAGTTTGCTGCCTCTTTTAGCTAAACAAAGCAAGAAAAACGAAAGGACATTGGAACAAGAAACAAAAGTGTAGTGGTGAAAACAAAAGCAAGGATCCCACAAACTTCAGATGATAGCAATGGCTAACTGCACCAAAGAACACCCTTGCGTGAGCAGCAAATGAAAGATGAAACGAAAGACTTTATATTGTATATATTGGATGATTTTTTTTTCTATAAAGAAGGAGAAAAAATACAACTATTGATCCCCTAATTCCTACATCGTCTCCCTTCATATCTCACGTTTGTCTGTTGCTTTGGTAGGTGAAGTGCACTGCTTGCATGATATATTGAAATATAATAATAAATAATTTTCTTTCAATTTATAGTTAATAACTTTGTGAAACCTCATTTTCATCCCTGATCTATTACATAAGATTCTCAACCTTGTCAAATATCCTTAAAAAGGTGTCACTTTATTGCATAAAATAACAAAACAATTAATATGCCGATATGGACGTAAACAGTCAATCGAAGAATGCCTAACACTTTAGGAAGTCAATTGAGAAAATATTAAGTTTAGGGACCCAATTGAAAGCTGGTGGCTTAGCAAGTAACTAAGTTGGGGTTTCCCCTAATTAATTACATTATGGTACTGTAATGAGGATCTATCTATTGATCTGTTTAGGTCGACCATTTGATCATTTTTCTGATTTTTAATCAATAAATCCAAGGCCAGGATCTGCCCATGTAAAATTGATTATGCAAGTGAGCATGTGTAAGTAGAGTTTTTTGGGTATTACTTTCTGTTGTAATGATGGAAGGAGCAAATTGCATGAGCTAAGATGGTGTGCAAAACCTTAACTACCTATATTCGTTTTGGTAAAGTATCATTTCATGTCTTAAATAATCTTCAACATTGATATAGCGCGGTATTATTAAACTCAGCACAATCTAATAGATTAATTCAATTATTTGATAATCTGATTATTGATTTAATTTTTAAATTAAATTAAGTGAAAAATAATCAAATATAATCAAATTGACTGGTGAAAACTCGATTTGTTTTTTTAAGAAATATTGTTTTATTTTCTTATAAAATAAAATTTTAAAATAATATTAATTTTAAATTAATGAAATTAATCTACTTAATATATAACCCAAACCTTGAAATGAATAATATAACGGATTGAGTTTAATAACTTTGGGAAATAATCACATTTATAAGCATATTATCTATAGAGATAAAGCAACAAAATGGGGTTTGATAGTCTCCGGCCACTTGAGATGATATAATGTTTGTCCACCGTCCACCAAGTGCTTTACTGGAATCAAGAAGTTCTTCTATATATTCTCGTAATCTTTGATTTCATGAATGATATTTTAGGACATCATCCTTTGAACAACTCTTTCTGAAGTTAGAGCAGTGGTTTGGTTGAGTTCGAAAGCAAGCTTCTAGTTAGAACACGATGACGAAAGCAACCTTAATTCTAGTTAGAACACGATGACGATGCCTCAGTTTATTTGTATTAAGAGCAATGCTTGTCTATCTTCCTGCATGTGAACCTGTATTCTATTTTGTATCCGATTTGATCAGTTATCTCATTTAATTAATATTTTTAGAGACTTTTATTTATTTATTTATTTAAAAGATGTCGTTTATATTTTCAGAACAACTTTAAGTCTATTGACAGTGTCCAATTTCGTAAATATATATAGCAAGTTGACATTCCTTTCCTAGTTTTTTATATTTCTGTACTACAAGGATTGTGATGTATTTATTTAATTTATATTAATGCAATTGTTATTCATTATATATAAAAAATAATATTGACAATAAAATAGATTTAACATGGAAGGGATTGTCCATTTGATATATTCAAAGGCCTAACTAGTTCTGGGCCTCTATCAGAAGACTCAGGACCCTCTCGAGAGACTTCATTAGGACAGGAAACGGAGTATGGCCCGGCCCATTTTTCATGCATGCTTGGAATTTGGATCCTTGGAAAACAAAGAAAGAATCAAAATCAGTAGAGAACAAAAACAAGGCTCTATTATCAATCAATTAGATACTGCATATTTTTTGGACAATAATATTCATATCAATCAAGATTTTATTTTTTGATAATTCAGTGGCCGAGTAATTGCATTTGCTCAGTAAATGCATCTAAACTTCACAGTTATTAGCCGCACTTAGCCTGTGCTAGGTCAGGAAAAAAGATAATTTAAAATTGACGTAATGTTTTTTAAGGGTTAGCTCAAAACCTATTTAATCATATCAAAATCTAATTTAATTTTTTTAAAAAAATTAATCCAAATTGATTTGTACGCCTTGTGACCCCAACATAAGGATGCTAATATGAGATTAAGTTTAATAACTACGCTAAACTAGATTTATGTAACAAAGCTAGCGGTCATTCAAATGTCACCGATTTGTATAATGGAAAAATGGTGAAGAGAGGTCCTACATGGACCAGCGGATCATAAATTACTCAAAGAGTACAGGGACCAATTAGTCATAGATTGTCAGTCTCCTGTCAATTATCAAATATGTCATTTTTCAAAGTTTTGCAGCCTTCATGTCGACATATTTTGCTCGTATTAATTAATGGATAATTACACCTCTATTATTACGTGGGCTATATGGCCCTAGGCTAATTAAGTCCATGTGCACAGCAAAGCCAATCCTATCCAAACCTTTTCCTCTTCTTTCTCTTTCAGGAGGAGGTTAGGTGGTGTTTTAGGGTGCATTTTATTTAAAAATATATTATAATAATATTTTTTTAATGTTTTAAAAAATATTTTTAATGATAAAAAATCAAGACAATTTAGAAATATATATAAAAATAATTTTAAGCAAGTTTTTTAAGAACAATTCATGAAATGGAGCACCTTTATGGTATTCTTGGCTAACTTCTCCATCTTAAACAAGAATACTTTCCAATAAAATAGGAAGAAAAAAAGAACAACTAACTTCATCACACCAATCAAGTTTGCAAATCATGCCCAAACCTGTGCAGCAAAAAACGCCATTAATAATTTTTATGGGCTGATAAGTAGATGCAAAGCCTAACATCACAGAACTTGACGTGATGAGGCATGTTTTTGACTTTAAAAGAAAGCATTAATGCCCACATCACCAACCTTCTTTGGCTGGATGTCTTTTCTGATATTTGAGAGAGACGTAGCTCCCATTTCTCAGCGGACCAAATTTCTCTTCTTGTCAATTCTCAATGCATAGATGAGCCGGGAAAACTGGTTCGTTCACTTAAGTCTTACTGGGCTACTATAGCATTGCAGGCGAAAATGGTTGGTAGGGAAGGCAAATTTGGTGGCGGCAAGAGAATGGATACCTAGTTTCTTTTCTTTTTTCTTTTTTCTTTTTTCTTTTTCACGGTGAGGGATGATTTCGTGTCAATTTGATATCCACTAATGTTAATTTTCCTGATGGGATAAATAAAAAAAATAAAACATATCTCTTTTAACTATCATAGCAACTCCTTGAAGAAATGATTTTTTTTTTTTTTTGATGATGACGACGATGAAAGGATTTTCTATTAACCAAAATCAACCTAATCAGATTGCATAGATGGTTGGTGCAATGTACAAACACCACAATACAAACAAAGGTAAACTAGTGAGAGTTACTTTTTTACATAGAGAGCAGGTTATATCAAAATAAATCAGATTTTCCATTTCATTTGTTTTGATTTTATGCATAATTTATTCAATAGATTATGTATTGTTAGCTATGTTCTTATATCACTTCTTTTTAACAAGTTATCTCAATTTTATTAAAGATAACAAATTTTCTCTCTTTTTTAAAAAAAAATGGTTAAATTACATATCCACGCGTTTTTTACAGTTAGATTTAGATCCAAAATGATAAGGCGAACGAAAATATCATTTAATAATGAATCAACATACTGAAGTCTCTGCTTTATACATTCACATGATTTTTTCTCTTCTGCTGCTTTGTCAATATATATGGCCGGTCATCTATTTGATGCTGCGTCGGATTTTGGCTGGAATTGAAAGGGGTATTGTCAGATCGTGAAAATCATGTTCTGTAAAAGCCAAGAAGTGTCCAAACCTGGGAAAAATTCTCGTTAGATAGAGCCAGAAGAACGGGTTTTTTTTAATAATATAAAAAAAATATCACAGTAATTTAAGAATTTTAGTAAAATATCACAGTAATTTAAGAATTTTAGTAAAATATCACCTTTCGAGAAGGTTTCAGTGGAAGCGGATGTTTTCGTCTTGACAAACTTCTGAGGGAAAGTAAGAGCGGAGTAACTAAGTCTTCGTGTGTACCTTAAAAAACCAAAATAAGGTGGTTGGAGGGGCCAGTACGTGCCTTTCCTCCTTCGTTTTCCACTCTTGCCTGCAAAAGTATAAGGAAGATTAATCTGTTGCTAAAAAATAAAGAATTTCCATGGAGAGAAGATGAGTAGCTTAGGGTTTGAATCCTCGTGATGAAAGCTGATATTTCTCTTTTGTTTTTGTCTGGAGTACACAATCATTCACGTAATTCTAAAACAAAGAGCAATCCATCGTCTCTCATCTGTACATGACTCCTGGTTTGTTTATTTATTTAATACGACACCTTGTTTGCGAAGAAATACAGGCATTGAATTTGCGGTTCTCAGAAACATGGTATTAATTGTTTATCATATTTTTAAACTGTGATATTTTGAAGTTTATTATTTTGTCAAGAAATTTTGCTTATGTGTTAATTCTTTTTTCTTTTTTTTTTTTGTAATTTCTATGCTAGTTGTCTAATATGTCCAAAATTGCTGGCAAGTTTGATTCGTGTATTCTAACTTGGTCTCCCCTCTTTAAAAAAAAAATTAAGGAAATAAAAAACCTGCATACCTGATCTTGGTCTCTCCATGGAAAGCTGCACCCGAGGGGTTTGTATTTATAGAAGCTGATTAATATCTTGCCCAAATTTATCGCATTTTTTATAGTATTTCTAGATTATTTATTTTCTTGGAATAGAAAAGATAAAGGAATCGTATTCTTGTATATTCTTTTTATTTTTAAAATATAAAATTCACTATAAAACTATATATCATAGATATAAATTTATTTTTATGTTCCCACCTCTCTAATTAAATTAGTTTTTTATTATTATCTTTATCTTATCTTTTATATTCTTCTATCTATATCTATATATCGCAACCCGTATAATAATCAAACACTACATGAGTGTCCTATAAGATA